CATCAGACTGTGTTGCCAGCTAATGCAGTCTGCCCTAGCATTCAAGCTGTGATTTGCCCCCTTGTGCCTAGTATTTAGGAACATGTTCACTATGACTGCTTCAAAAAAGAGAAACTCAACTCGTGCAGTGCAATGCTTACCATAAGGGTACCTTGGAAAATACCTGACACCACAAATCCCTCTGCTGTTGGTGTATGTCTAACCTCATTCATTTTTATAGCTGGAATCAGCTGGAATGTGTCTTGTTCTCAGGAGAGCAGGCAGCGAGGGATTTACAGCACAGTAACTAACCTCAGGTCTCAAGTTTGCTTATTCCCTGGCATACCATTACATCCTTGGGGAAAGATAATGCAGCTGACAAAAAAATGTCACAGCCCCTCAAAATAAATAATATCTGTCCAAATTTGGCATGTGCTGCCAACTCTGCTCATGTTCTGGCCTTCTGTCGGAACATTTCTAAAGCCGTGGACTTTGTTAGAAGAATAAGGAAAGAGGAAGATTCAGTCACATATCTTTTCAAAAAAGCTCTGTGCCTGTTTCTTGTCACTCTGCAACAGCATTTTGGCATTACAACAACTGAATGTGCAGTGGTGTTTGGGTAGCAATGTAAGAGCTTAATAAATAAAACATGAAGTTGAAGTAGAGAAAATTCAATAAAATTTCATGCATGCTTTTCATTTTTTCATGCTAAGGATCAGAATATTAAGTACATTTCAGTGTCTAATTCTGTATTAAGTATTAAAGTCACTCATCATTCTTTGTATTCCATTAGAATTAGAAACTGCAACCAAAACCCAGCATGTCAGAGACAGTACAGTCAGTATAAGTGACAATTAATTAAGGATCTCTAATTCAATGCTTATGTTCTAAATAGATGAGACTAAGTATAAAAATACCTGTTTTGCCAGTATAGAACTAAAAGCAAATGGGAGCCAGAGACTGCTCTGCCCACACACAGTCTAGGGTTCAGCACAAGTCATAGAATGAATATGGTTCTAGAAAGAATGATCCTGATACTCATTCTAAAGCATCAGAGTACTTCAGTTTTAGGATTGTTTGTCAACTGCTCGGTTGCTGGCAGAGTAAATACCAATAAACCCCTTCATATATGATACAACAGAGCATGAAAAGAAATGACCTGTGTACCTCTTTTGTATTGCTCAGCTTCGAAAAGAAAAGCAGCTATTCTTTTGACTAACCTCTGCATACCAGACTTAAGCTAAAGCAGAGCAGACCTTTTCGTGCAAAAGATCACTTTAAACAATACACAACTTACGCATTTCTTCAACGACGTCTGGATCACATTCTCTGTACTTGTCTATTTCTGCCTTTAGCTGCTCTTTTTTCTGCCGAAGGGCAGCAAGTTCCTCTATCAGAGCTGCACGTTCTGGCTGAAGAGTTAAAGTGTGTTGGGAGATAAAAAAAAAAAAGACAAAAATTAAACCCAGTAATTATTGCACACAACATTTAAAAAAAATAAAAATACATTAATGTAAAAGGTGTTTTTGCTACTGCTTGCTGTCAATGAACCACCTAAGCGTTTTATGCACAGGCAAAATTCTTAGTGACACTAAATGGTGTTGAGAACGAACTGGAAGAAAAAAAAATTAAGGCCAAAATGGATAAATAGAAGAACAATTTTCTACAACCTTTGAACTCAATATGGTTGACAAACTCCAAAGAGATCTAATTATTGGCCTTAAAGATTAAACAGTGCAAGTGATGTAATTAAAGTCAGCATTAGAGAAAAACCTATCATTCACCCTTCCACAAACTGAGATGCTGTGTATGAACACCCTCTGAATTTATTTTTCTTTTTCCACACCACTTAAGAGCAGCTGTCTTAAAAATAAATTCAGATATTTAGGACATGGTAGTCTTTGCTGGGAGTGTACACAGTATTGACCTCAAAGATTGTACCAATCAATAACAATCTGCAGACACTGGCTCAACATGAGCTCTCCCACAGCCAACTCAGCACATACTTCTGAATTCAGCCTGTAGTTACAGACAAACACTGTTAACTGGCTGATATTCAAATAACTCATGCTAGGGCACTGGGTAACTTAAGCCAGATAACATGGGTTTGTAAACCATCAGGTTTTTTACCAATGGCAGTCTGAGATGTTTGTGGGAGTGGGGTTTTGTTTACGGTGTGGTTTTTCCAGATTTCCATATTTTCCGTGCTTTTTGACAACAGACTGGATTCACTGCGTTCTGAAAATGCAGAATGGAAATCAAAAGTTTCCAGATGCTGACATATGGAGGCAAGATGCTCAGAGACCTACACCGTGGTCTAGAATTTTCAGGACTTCTTCCTTATATATAATCAAGAACCAAAATGTTGGAAGCATCATCCAGAACAGCATTTCCAGGACCAATAGCTTTCTGCGATCAGGGCAGGCCACGTGCTGAAGAAGCTCAAGTCTGGAACAGTCCATTTGGAAACAGGACAAGCACAACTGTGTGAGAAACCTGCCTGTGATGCCCTGATTACAGTCTGTTGCTAATGAGTGGTTAGGATGCACAAAGAGGCACCGTTAAAGGTATTGGCAAAAAGCATTTAACATGAATTTGTGAAAGTGTGACTTGAACCTCCGTGACAAGGTTCACTCTCTTGCTTAGTAGATAAATGAAGCATACATAGGAAAAACCTAACCTGTTTCCATAAAACAGTTTGGATTAGAAGATTTGGCATTTTCCTACAAAATTCAATTCCTCTGAAAGCTTCTGGCTGAGCCTGTTTATGCATTTATTTATTGGAGGTTTAAACCACGCTAAACTGAGCACCTCAACGCAAATCAGCAACTTAGAATACCATGTCAAGTATTTCTAACTAGTATGTTTCTTCACATGTATGGCAAACATGAAACATAAATATTATGTTGCAGTGTCAACAGCTTCAGCATGCAAAGAGCACCAGCCTTATATGGCTTATTACAAATAAGTTTAAATAAAACAACAACATAACATCTAAGTTTGTAGTTACTAGATTGGGCACTTCAGCAATCATTGGCAACTTTGGTACATACCTCTGGGTACTTCAAGTTTTAAGATATTTTTAAATCTGTCAATACCTGGAAGAACTATATTAGTATTTACAAGAAGTGCACACTTGGAGCCCTATTTCCTGGTAGGATTGCCTCCCCCCAAAGCAACTTACAGTATCTTCACGTCCAATTTTGGATTTCTCAATGCTTTTTTGTAAGGCCTCTTTTTTCTGCCTGCTTTCAGTGAACTGATAAAGGAATCAAAGAACAAAAACAAACTTTTCAGTAACATACATTAAACACACCTATAAAATGTGTATACACAGTAACATGCTTAAATAAATAGCTGGATATACCCTTTTAAGATTTAAATACATCTCTTTATAACTTACGTAATAAAAATACCCAGAAAAAATACAAAAGCACTCAAAAGTCTGAACCTCTGAATCACTGAAAAGAATTAGAGAAAGCAACTTATAAGAAATTTTCGCTCCCATGGCATATAATCTTGCTACATATGCATGTTCAGCATAGGATCAAAACTTTATTTCATACCATAACTTGGCATCTCTATGCAAAGGTCTCCATAACATGGAGACTTTGAATTAGATGACTTCCTTTGGTCTGTTTCCAGCTGTCCTTATTCAACGGAAGCAGTGATAAAAGCCGTAGCAGATCCACCTGCTCGGCTGCCTATACCAGTGCTCCCAATGTCTGGTATGCCATTGGCATGGCCCCAATCCCTTCTACATGCTGGTGAGCAGAAGCCTCTATAGCTCAAAGGCATGTAAAGTCAGCCCCTTGCACTATGTTGCACTCACACTGCTAGACCTCACAGAGTTCCCTTCCTTCAGGCCTGGGGCAGAGAATCTCACAGAAGTCACATGTACAGGGCTGGTGTGAATACTGCTTCCATTTTTCCTGTTACTCCAGGAGAAATAATTCGTAAAGAGAGTTCTCTCTCTGCTAACCTGCCACCCCTCTTGAACCAGGCTCTTCCAGTTCAGTTGGCAGTTTTCCAGAAGTACTTTAGAAACTCTTATGCTGAGTAGGACCTATAATGCACCCCTCAGGGACACCATACTCAGCATCAGACAAAGCACCCTCAAATATTAAATGAGATGAATGAGAATGCAAGAACTAATTTCTAATAAAAATAGTTTGGAAACCAGTTACTGCATTTGGAACCAATGCAAAAGAAGAAAAAATAAAGAAAAAAAAAAAGAGAAACAATAGCATGCTTTCTAAGTACTCACTCTTTGGTTTAGTTTCAAGATGCCCTGAGCACCAGTCAGGTAGAACACAAGTATATCAGACTAATTGTGAAAGATGGCCATCAGAGCCCAGGTTTTATTCTGCCTTACCCCAAAATCCCTCACATAGAGCCTCCACTTCTACATTCTCTTTCTCACTGAGGACCCCACTAGAGTGGAAAAGCATTCCTAGACATTTCTTGCAGTTCCTAGCCTTGACAATTTAACCATAGCGTTTATATTGCACAACTGAAACACCAAGACCACATTGAAACAATGCAAACTGAACAGCTTTGGCACTGTAATAACCTCTCAGTTTCTACTTAAACTAATGTCAGGTCCGTATTTTCAGAAAACACATTAAATGTAAAGGCATGATAAATACCAGGCAGAGCTTATTGCCAAGTCTTGGAGATCAGCCACAACAGTGGTGGTCCACACAGGCTAGGACCCAGCCCAACTGCAGCTCACTGGGTTTAGTGGTTCCTTTTACAGCTCAATTTTTAAAAACTAATTACTCTTTCTGGAGAGTATGTGTTCACGCACGTGTAAGCATACATACAGACAAGCCTCCTTTCTAAACCAATGCTTTAGTTTTTCTTCAATTTACATAGAAATTATACTACTGGTAAGATGAATGTAATTTGAGGAAAAATATGCCCATCTGTTTACTTATTGCTCTCAGTGCAAGTAACCACGGAGGCAGTGAAAGTTTCAGTATGTGGCCTGAAGTACACCAACATCTTAATTTTGGTGGATAGTAAAACAGTACTCTTTCTGGGCTTTCCACAAGATTTTTAAGAAGTGTTTTAGTCCCCACAGTATGCTGTACTAAACAGAGGTGTACAGTTCAGGAAGAGGACAAGTACTTGGGTGCAGTTAGCAGTTCACGAAGCCCAGTGAAGAGAAACACCAGAGCAGACATCACTTGGCATGTCTGAACAAAGACTTTTTCTAGAACAAAACTCACAGAAGAGGTAGAGAAGCCAAGGAACTTATCTAGACCTTTATACCACAAGCACAAAGAAGAAGCCAATGCTCTCTGCAAGAGAGGCCATAAAGGTGTCACTTTCTCGCTTTTTTTAATACTCATTAAGTCCTTGAGGAACATTTCTGCATTCTTTAAAATGGAAGCACAGAAGGAGCTCTCAGAGAATTGCAAATCATAAAAGCTGGTTTCTAGCTTGGAAGCACATTTCCCACTATGGCATTTTATTATTTTCTTGGTCCTCTATATTCCACATCATTTAATCATGAAAGAAACAGTAATAACAAACTCTGGGAGATAAAGAAATTTCTTAGATTCTGACCTACACAACATGCAAGGTTGCCATGCCATGACATCAGAAGACCTTCCCCTGCCTAAAAGCAAAGCTGATTTTTACACAATCTAATTGAAGATTTTGCTTTCTTCTCTCAAAGAAGAAATACCCTTGGGTGTTAGGGTATTTTTTTATTTGTCCTCGCAACCAAAAATTTACAAAATAAAATGAAACCACAGCTCTTAGTGGTTTATTTAGAAGTCACAGTGGGTATCCCCATGACAACAAATAAAAGATGAGGATAAGGGAAGGAATAGCAGGAGGAGGCAAGATATTGAAAAAAACTAACATAGGACAAGAATGCAAAACATGAGGAACAGATGGCCAGGGCCTGTGCAAGCAATCTATGACAATGGGAGAAGCAGGAAGGCTTGGATACAGAGGTGGGAACACAGCTGAAAGTAACCGTAATGAAAGAAGGAAAGACAATCACTAAGGATGAAGGAGTCAGAGGAAGGATGGATATAATTATACAATACTTAATTGAAAGGTAAGGGCAAATGGCAGATGACAGGTGACAGGCTGTCAGGCATTAAAAGGAAAGAAAAGCAGAATTTGCAAGCATTGTGTATGTATGATAGCAGAGGGTCACATCTGGACAAACACAGTGATTTACTTTCCCATTCACCAGCTGTAGAAAAGCCTGATTGCAAAGAAGCACAGTAGCAGATGGAATATTTCAATTCCTGGAGCAACCTTGGGACATTTTTCAAGGGAAGTAGCAATTTCTCAAGGAACATTAAACCCTCTGAGAGAAATCTGGCTCCTGCCAATAGCAGAGAGACTGATTCATAGAAAAAGATATTGCCTCCCCTCTACATTTCTTGAGGGAGATGTCTGGCCTGACACATGAACAACTTTCTGCCACAAGTGTAACTGACCAGGTGTGGAAAAGAAGTACAGAAAGTTCTGCATCTCCAGTCTGTCTTACTGCTCTGAATCAGTACATGATTAAGCAACATGCAATAAAGCTGCAAAAAATATAATCTAGGGGAAAGCTATTCAAAGAAGGAAGGGAAACTAAATAATTAAAAATTAAGAAGTTAAAAAGATTCTCCACAAGATCATTTCCAGTGCTTTCAAAACATAGTGGGAGCATAAAACAGGAGAGCTGGGAAACAGTTTTTCATTTTACAGACCAGTGTGGTCAATTAACTGACAACTGAGGTTAGCTTAGACACTAGTTCAATCCAAAGTCCCCCAAAAGGGATAATTTTTCTTACTCTGCAAAGGTCTCACAATGTTTAGCTGGACATTTGTGCAGCAGTTTGTGTGCACTGAGTGCTCTAGGCTGATGATAACCATCAGTTCCATCACAGGCCTTGGGGTCTGGTTTGTATCAAAGGATACAGATTAGACACACACTCACAATTTATAATATAGCATGAATGCACCAATACCAGGGTTCCACTGCAGCAAGGCAGTGATGTACATTTGGAAGAGGAACATTTAACCCTGTGACACACAACAGCAGCAGGTTTCAGCTCTATTCCTTCTCAAAACCTGACAAGATTTTGACTCTGGAATAAAAAAACAGATTATTTTTTTCTCCAGCAAGTTTTTGTTGGTCCTATGCCTTCTGGTTACTTGTTCTTAACCACTTTAATGGCCAATGTGCCACCAAACATGTAGCTTGTCAAACTAGCATATTAAAATATCTACAAACCTAGTGTAAGCCATGCAAACACAGACCCTGAGTATGTACACTGGACAAGAGTCAAACCAAGGTCTCAAATGCTAACCACCGAGAGCACTCACAGCTGTTAGCCAACTGTCATTATGGCCCTAAAGAGAAATATCATACATTTGGTTTTCTTTCTGCCAAAACACTCAACCAAAACCAGTATTAAAAACTGCTATTGTGAGCACTACTTGCTGAGATACTACAGAAGAATTAAAAACATCCATTTTTTTAATTGTTTATAACTTGCAAAGTTAATTACATTGTGTTTGAAGCTCATTGTGCTTTATTTCAGGCCAAAGGTAAGGTTAGTTTGCTTTTGGCTCAAACAAAAGCAGTTCAAGAGTTTTAGGGTGACATTTGCAGTACATAGGTTCATTTGTTTCCTATGTTAAAACTAACCCACTACTGAAAAACTTAAATAGAATTGACAGAAGGCATGGAGAGAAAGTACTTCAAAGCATTCCTCCAGATTTTAAAGAAAGATAACAGAAAGTTGAAGCCAAAAAAGCAGACTAATAATATATAGAGAGAAAAAATGCAAAGATTAACAGCCAAGTAACAATCTGAAAATATTAAAAACATACCTGTTGTGTTAAAAGAAAGGCACAGAACATTACTAAAAGAAACCACTCAGCAATTACTGTTGACTAAAACAATAAAACTTAAAAGGAGGAAGAAAAATCCCAAAGGGCAGTACACTGAAGTGCAGAACTGCCTTCTAAAGGACTACACTAGGTAAGCATACAACTACTTTTACATATACAGTCACCAATTCATACTTCCCAGGGCCTCCAAACACACATAAGCAAACTTTTCAGCTACCTAATTACAACCACAGTAGACCAGAGAGCACTACTGCTGCTATCTGCCCTGCTCTCAGGATGCCCACATACCACTCTGAAATGTCATTTCTGCAACTAACCCATCTAGTGAACTGAACTACAGTAGGAACAGCTACCAGGTCCACTGGGACTTCAGTCAGGGATGTA